GAGTGTGCCGCAAGGACCTCAAAACCCTGACCCTATCTAATACCTAAAATTATTTTGGACCAAAAGACGACCATAACCTTTCCCTGTATCAGGTTAACGAACAAATTGTAACCCTATACCACACAAAAGCCATACCCTACAGCGCTGCATATGCCCTTATAGCACTGGAACTATACGGGGTACCACCTCTTCCCTCCTCCCCCCCTTCCCCCCTTCCGAGCTGGTTATTAATTTGATGTATCAGACGATGCTAAATGACTCACCATCACAGTTGTATGTATTCCAGGCAAAATCAGGTGTGCAAAGTCTTCCTGCTGGACAGGGATTGGACAAACAGGGGTTCTGGTTTGGAATATGTTGAAACAGAAAAATAAAATAGAATGAAAATATCCTAGATGCGCTTTTGTTTGATGAAAAAATGACAACAATGGCCGGCCATGGAGAGCTTTAGCAATACATTAAAGGTTTCAGAGATTTTCATATAATATACTTTATTCTTGAGGCTGGCGTGGGCGCACGTGAAGAAGAGAAGAAATGAACTATCAACTATCAGTATAAACACACTAATAGTCTATCACTCATACTGCACTGTGATTGGCTACTCTACTAATGGTCTAAATTGTGATAGAACACTCGCGGGAAAATCAAAATAAATAGATTATAAATTATAAATTATTTTAAGGATATTTCAATTTTTTTCATTATTTGACCGATTAGTATGTTTATACTAAAACAATAAACCTCTCGGCCTCGCGGACTCGGCCTCATGGGCTATTAGCTCGTAGTCCACTCGACCTCGAGGTCTAATTGTTAATTATTCCACTCGAGATCATTTAACTTTACAATCAGCGTGCAGGATAAAATCTTATTATAATAAAAATTGGGTCATCACAAACAGACGTCCACTACACAACTAACCTTGATTGGACAATATTGATAGCCTGTTTTATCAACTAAGAAACTCGATCGAGTCGAGTGGTCAGCGGTATTCAACTCACACCACCTGGAATGTCCAAGTAYTGGGCCCAAGTTGTACGACACACATTTGTGTTCACGAAAACATTGACTCTGACACAGTTGAAGAGCAGGTGTYATCATCTTGATCGTAYTGATSACGTGACCAGTCAAGGTTTTGTTCTCGATGCATTTAAGAAACTTRAGATCTCTACAGCCACCTTCACCTTGTTGAGGAAGAAATGTTTACAACCAGATATAGATATCAAGATTTAAGGCGATATATGTCTCTAACGAACTAAAATGATTGCATTTTTTGGCATTACATTATATGCATTATTATAGTCGTTTTAGTTGAATCTGAAATTTGCAAAGTTTAATCAAGTCGCTTGTCGCCAAAAACCCCTTGGGGTCTCTATATGCTTAGAAAAATAGATAAGATTGTTGTTAATGTATTTAAACATGTTAAACCGACTATTTTTATCATTATTTATTGGCAAGAATTTCACATCGCACTAGCATTTGATTAATATTAATAAGGGATATAACTCTCAATCCTTTCATCTCGCTGTTTTGGAAACAACTTTGCAATCCAAAAGACGTTTCAAGGGCTCTATATTTAAATTATTCTGAATTTCACATATCACAGGTGTATTGGAATTGTTACATAAACCATTTGTTATCAAACATTTATAATGTTAGAGATGAAGCTAATTTTTGTTGTTGTTTTAATTCAGTTTGTGAGGGTTTTTTTAAAGACTTTTAAGGACGAATACGCCACGTAACATATAATATTTTAAGAATTAATTAACTGAAAGGAACATGCTTTTTCGTTCGCTTTTAGGTAACTTTTTTTCTTTTTTAAAAATTTTCCATGAAATGAAAAAGCAATGTGAGACATGTGAAATGACAGTAACAAGTTGTTCGTAATTTGATCAAGTTTACGCGAGTTAGTTATAACATTGGAAAAATCCAATTTCAAGAATTGAGACTAAATCATGACAATATTAAGGAATATGATTCAATTCAGTGAAGTTTCCAATCAATATTGTTTCTTTATTATCTGTACGGAACAAATTCGCTAATGTTAAGCTTACCTTTCACTTGCAATACCATTCCAAGCGCTAAAAACACTTGAAAAACCATGTCTCGTTTTCTTTCTCGCGTCTTTAAAGTGCTTGTTCACGTTCACACTCTGTAGATAAGGTATGGCTACGCTGTCAGCACTGTCCGTTAATTAAAAATTTATGGTTTTACTCACTTTAAGACTATCTAAATTAAAACGTTATTCAGACTTGGTTTTTTTTTTAATCTG